TACTAGCACTAGCTACACTCTCAGCAACAGCTTTTTGAAACAAAGCATTTTCTTTTTTTTGCTTTTTTATTTCAGAACCCTCTCGATATGTGGTTTGTTTCGACAAATATTCTGGGCAACCTAGTAGTTTACTTGGAATCGCTCCTAACAATAGATTTAAATTTTTTGCGACTGCGACTATGCAAAATCTAGCAGTAACCGTAATAATTATTTTAAATGTTTAAATGAAACTAACCTGAAACTAGCTTCTCCAGTGCTCTCAATAACAAAGGATTTAGCTTTTTCAATTTCAGGGGGGTTGAATCATCAAATGTAACTCACAAACCTACAATAATAATTATTGCAATTATTAATTATTTTAAGTGGTATAGGTAGGGGGGTACTTATTATTCTATAAAAACAATTAGAACAGAAAAATTACCCTTGAAGTAGAAGTTGGGACAAAATTATCATGCATGATGGCATTTAACCACTTCTTTGAAAGTTCTGGATCTTTAAGAAAACCAAAAGTGAAAACATGTGGCCCATTACCATAAGTTCCCTTACATTTGGGGACGCAACACATATAAGGCATGTTCTTTTTTGTATTGAATAGGGTATCTAAAAATACGCTACATGTTAATACATCTTAAGTACTCACCAGTCTGACGGCATACTCACAGCACACTAATCGTCTATTTTCCTGTAGGAAAACACAAAGAAGCCCACGAAAAGTATTTCACAAAATGTAATTACGTAAGCGTAGGTATATTATGTAATGTAGTCTTATAACCAGCCACTTGCTCGTTGCTCACTTATATCCCCTTAAAGGTACTGTTTGACCAGCGGATCTGAAGCTACGGAAGGAATGCGAGAAAAAAAAAATCGACATTGCCACGTTTATCTATAAAATTGCAAAATTGCCAGACATGAACTATAAATTTAATATATTTTTATTATATATAATGTGTTTAGCATATATTCTGACGTATATTACTAAGGAATTTTAACGTAGTTCATATTGTTCGATATGTTTTATTTAATAACTTATTTCTTTCATTCTGTATAATCTGCTTATTATGAAAGTTGAAGATTTTTCAACGATATCATTGGTAAATCGGCATCGCCGCGGATGGACGCCTATTCATCGAACATGATTGGCGAGAGTACGTCACAGGATTTGTTACCACGCGGTTGCCATGGCTTTTACGCCTTTCCTATTCGCTTGCTTTATCCCCAACTTCACGGTCTCTTCTGAAAAGAGTAGGAATATTGAATACTATTGAAATATCCAGTGGCGGTGTCATTCTTTTGATCATTATTACTTTATTTCATTATTTTATGCCGGTTATCCTAAACTTTATTCCTATATTTTTCGTATATTTGATAGTTAAGTTGTGTTTTATCGTTTTGTTATCTTGTTATAATGTTTTTCGTTCGTAGTTTTTAATTATTAATATCAAGTTTGATCGTATATTTGTGTTTTAAAATGAATAAATTTGTTAAGGGTAAGACGCTACATAGCCAGACAAGAGAAATAATAGCTAATTTATATAGGTAAGTAGAATAATAATAATATAATTAGAATATTAAAATTAAATATTGGCTAAAATGAAAAGCACACATTTTACCTAAATATTTTAGCTAAACTAAAATAAATATAAATAAACGTGGATGAAATCTCATTTGGTTTATTTCCTTGAGTTCATAATAGGGTTTGCGACGAAGAAGCTACAGAAAGTTCGCTTAAGTTGCCGCTTAAACGTAAACTTGAGCGGATATTTCTTTATACCGGAGTTAGCGTATCGGCTATAAAAAAAATCACACAGAAGATAAAAAAAAGGCTGAAAACTAACCCCGATAAAATGATATCCAGCCCTGGAAAGAAACGACCACGTGAGACTGCTGTTGAAACGCTCGACGACTTTTTCCAAGTGGTCAGGAATTTGATAAATAGATTTTATCTCGAATTCAAACTTGTCCCCGCAATTAGAAAGCTTTTGCAAAAATTGCAGGAAGAATCGAATTTTCCTTTGGCAGGGAAACGCTAAGGGGGTTATTAAAAGCAAATGAATTTTTTGGCGTAAATGTCAAAATAACAGATAAATATTAATGGTGCGGCCCATTAAATTGCAGAGAGAGATATATACGAGAAATTCGAAAATATAGCCAAGTATTATCTATTTGGATGAAACATGTAGGTAGACAATGACCTAACCTTTAAAAAGTACTGGCGGAGCGATACCATATCTGGTGTAATAGGCAATATTGGATCTACTGGTGAGTAAAATTATGTTTTGTTTGCGCTTCCAAAGTTAACTATTTTCAAGATTTTTTTTGCTGGACATAGTTATATCTAAATTATGTATTATAGAAAAAATATAGTTAGTACAGATATATAAATAAATATACCTCAAGACTCAGTCTTGATCATCTGCTGATGGCAGATATGGTTAGCGAAACGTGCGTCCAGTGTAAAATTAAAAGTGTTTTGGTGTATTGTACTGATTTAGTGTTTTATTTTGCTGTGTAAGACCAAAGGTTCCAACCCCCAGCTGTAATTATTTCTTCTATTATATTAACACATAATATTAAAATGATTCAAAATATTTAAGGGAGCTTTAATAAAAGCTTTTAGTGTTTATCTGCTAACTCAACAGTAACGATTCAAACAGCATAAAGTTTTTTGAAAATGTATTAATCTGAATATTATATTTATGATACACATTATTTTCATAAAACACCGTACGCCCATGCCTATTCTATGAATGAAAGTGGGCGTGTTTTGTTTACAACTGCGTTCCCCTGCCGATACCCCGTAGCTACAGATCCGTTGGTCACACTATAGGTATCTATTAAATTAATAAACTAGATAATTCCGCAATAACTCAATATGATGTCACGAAATAAATAGAAATATCCAGAACTCACAATGTCCTCGCAAATTAATACAAAACACCACAAATCCACACCAAAAACGATAGAATACACGAGAAATGCCGGTAAAAACAAAAAACTAATGCTCGAGTATGGTCGCCATCTTGGACTGTCAAACTTATAGTTCGTAGGCTTTGTTGTTTAGTTGGTAGTGGACGAGTCGGCAGATTAGCTTAGGCAGTGTTGCCATTCTGTTCCCCAATAAGTAACCGTCCAGTTAACAATCTGTATAATATTTTAGAACTTTTAGAATTTGCAATAACGTTTGCTAAATTAAAAACTTTGTATAATGCTATTATGAATCCTAAATATTGCCTAATCGTAAATTGGGTCATTGTTGTCTATTGTTAGCTATGCGGGCCCAAGTTTTCCCTACCAATTTCTTAATATCATGGTCCCATCTCAGGTTTGGACTTCTTCTAGGTCTCTTAATTCCTCGTGGGTACCACGCTGTAATTTTTGTGGTCCATCCTTCTTGCCAGGTGTCTGTCTAATATATGACATATATTACCTTTTTTTGTCTTAAACACTGTATTCTTTTGCGACCTTTTCTAGTTATCCCCAGCATATTTCGTCTCACTGAGCGTTGTGCAACATGCAGTTTCCTTATAATATCCGTTTTCAGCATCCAGGTTTCGCATGCATAGGTCATGACTGGTAGTACACATTGTTCGAATGTTTTCTTCTATGGATAAAATGCAATGTGATACATTTTAATACCATAAGTATTTGGACAATTTTACTATATACCGAGTGGGTCTGACAAGTTGCTCACCCCTATATTTTTTTTATTTTTTTAGTTAAAAAACGAGATTTGGTGTGTTAGTAAATGACATAAATTAGAATTGATTGACGATTCAATTGTTTTGGTCACTTCATGTATCACCGGAAATGACTACTACAACTTTTGATTTTTAAATGTAATTTCAATTTTAATTTCACTCTGAATAGAATGACATATCATATGTCAACTTTTGATATTTTTGCTTAAAAGAAAAATATTTTTTAAATTTCAATCTAGAGTGCCATGGTTGTGTTAAAAACAATAATTTTTAATCAAGGAGCTTTGGAAAAATAGATTTGATCGTCTAATGTTTTTCGTGTTTTGTCCTGGCCGGTTAAAAGATGCCCATATCGTATTTTTAATCATATCTCATTTTTTTTCAAATGCAACGAGGGTGGCTCATTTTAGCATATTTGGAAAAGCATTATTTACGAATAATTTGGTACCACACATTCGAGTCAAATTGTCGTTATGAACCGCATGTTCCAATTTCAAATAAACCATATGAGAAAATGTCAAAAGTTGACATATGATATGTCATACTATTCAGAGTGTCATTTTCTATCGAATAAAGTAAAAAAAAACGAGAGTGTCGTCATTTAAAAATCAAAAGCTTTAGTAATTTCAAATGGCATTCGCGGTGAAACAGGAAGTGACCAAAAACAGATGAATACGCCAATCAATGCTAATTTATGTCATACTAACATACCAAATCTGGTTTTTATCTGAGTAAAAGGTATTTATGGCCAAAAATTAGTAATTATTTTACTAAAAATAAGAATCATAATATTCATTTAAATAATGAAATTATTATATAGGCCACAAAAACATTCAAAAATTTATATCACCATCTTAGGGTGGAGGAGTTACATCCTGTACATTAGATTTAGTACACATAAAATGTACTTGCATTGTAGTCATTGTAAACTTATATATACGTCTCGAAACTGTACATTCGTTTAAGACCAATGTAGATCTAAGAGCTGTTAACTTCAGTTCATTAAATAAAACATTTTCTAAAAACAACTTGTTCCAAGTTTATCATTTAACTCGTCACAAATATTATTTCGCGCGAAAATTGTGGTTATCTTTCAATTAATTGCTTTATACTTGAACTGATTTATTTTTTTCATATTTTATATGTATATTATAAATTTTGAATCTAGCTATTTTTTTACGCAATAAGCTAAACTGTTTATTCAAAATTCTTTTTTGCTGAAATTCAAAAAAAAATGTATATGTTCGTGTGCTGTGTTTAGCCTTCACCGTGGATCGAGGTCCAGTTGTCTTACGTTGTTCTTCCGGCGTCGTCGACGATTCGTTCGATGTCGAATGGCTGGCCTCGACTACGAGGCTACTATTAGATATATATATAATTCTACGCTAAAGAGTTTCCCCGTATCTGTATGCAGCAGTTCACCCACCTAGTGTATCCATTAGAATAGATGCCTATCATCATGAAACTTGTAAGTGTCAAAGAAAAATCGAACTTTCAGTTTGTGTTTGTTGATTAGTGGAAACTGTTTGTATAATGTTAAATCTCTAGTGCCTACATTATTGGATAACATTAATATACGGATATTTTTTGGTAATTTATTAATTTTCAATTTATTTTTTATATATTCATAGTTAGAAAGGAGTCTAGGGTAGGTATTTTATTAAACAAATTTTTATAATATATATAAACTAAAAAGGTAATGGAAAATAAAGAATAAATATTTTTAAACCTAAAATAGATTGCCGAGATGTTAATAGATTTATATTGTTCTTTTAAATATTTTAGTTTATGTTTAAACAATTCACTTATGTGTAACGTCGATTACGCAAAACAGTTTTTTGAAAGGAAATAGATTATTTCTCAATATTTAAATAAGACAGTTTTACTTGAATTCCACTAAACCTGAGTCTCTTAACAGATTCAAAAGTATTTCATCTTTTCTTGGGGAGAGGTTCGTCAATTAAATAAATTTAGTTTTCTTTAAACATCTTGACATTTCCCCCTTAATTTTGGGGCATTTTCAAAATTTTTATTATCTGAAAAAAGTTCATAAATCACAATACCAAAATAAACACTTAAAACATCAATATAACAAACAAACTATATATTATAATAATTAAGTCAATTAATTAAAATAAAACAAAGTAAACATGTAATTTAAGAAGAATACGCACTTTGAGCTTTTTGTTTTTTTTTTGTCACAGCCACAGCACTTTGAATATTCGGACTCTTGGACAGATCTTGCTTTAATTCCTTCTATTCAATATGTTGTTGTACATATTGTAAAACTGTTCTATTTCGGTTTGTTATTAACGGCGTTCGAATGTTTTTTAGTTTCTATGATTGCTTTCATAGCCAACTTAGTTATAATTTGTGTCACTCAATTGTTGTTGAAACGTTGTCAATAAAAATAAAATAAATATAAACAAAATCTAGTAACATCTTTAAAACCCCAATGACCAAAAGCCAAGAACAAAAAAAATATATTGAAAACTAATAACTAGTTTACTAATATTGGTTCTTATAATATCTTAAAAAATGTGTTTATTTTTTGTTAAGTTTGAAGTCCTCTAACGGACAAACGAATCACTTTTGTATAGAGGTAAATTGTGCCCAATGAACTTATTTTGATTCAAAAAATACGCTGTTTTTTTTAAAAAAATACGATCCAATCACTATATAGGGTGAGTCTTAAATAAGTGCAATCTCCATAAAAGAAACATATTTTCCCTTTACCGTTTTTCAAATAAGTCCTAAATAACCGAGATATTTTACTTCCAAATTAAAAAAAAAATAATATTTTGCTTACATTTTGAAAACCGCTGAATCCTTTCTGGGTTTTCTTTCTTGTAAATTTAATCTGCTACCTATGTTATATTATGAAGATATTACGTTTTTTAACTAAAAATTAAAAAAAGTTCGAAAAAGATTTTCAAAAAAATCCAAATTTTTCCAAAAAAAAATTTCGCGAAAAGAACCTCATTGGCTTTTTTCTGGGGTCGAAATATACCACCCCTAAAATATTTGCACTTATTTAAGACTCACTCGTTGTTTCATTTAGAATTTTCATTTATTTTTTATAAAAGATGAGGGTAGCGAGTATTATAAAATATTCGCGGACGTGACAAAGTAGTATTGAGTACTAACCTTCAAGTGTCAAGGTAGAAGGCAGACTTTCGCTAGGTATTGCTAACGGAATGCAGCAGGGGCTATCTATGTAACTTTTCTCTTATTGGTCAATGTGAAAGGTGCGGTTATATTAGTAGTTATTTGCCTTTTTTAAACACAATATGACACTAATTATAATAGTAGGATATTAACATAATTTAACCATGATCCGTACATATTATAATACCAAAGTAAGCACGTTGGTAGGCCTAGGTCTGATACAGTTCCTATCAGGTACAGTTATATGCAACCAATTAAGTGGGTTCTGGAAATGACAAGCCAATTTACAAATATTTACAGTTAAAATTATTTCAATTTTTACGGATATTTTTATTTATGCATGTTTTTATTGATGCATTATTTCGTTAATCTCTCATATTATAATGAACTCCATTAATTTTATATTCACTAATTATATTATCAAAGAAAAATAACTCAGCTATTTTGGAGATATTTGAAAAACGCCAGAAAAAATATATTTGTTTTATCGAGACTTACTAGCTCTTAAAATATTTATACTAATCTAAGACTCGCCCTGTATATTTAACTACTTTAAGAACAAGAAGAAAAAAAATAACTACTTTATTATATGAGTTAATGATTTGTAAAAGAAATTATATTCCCTATCTAAATATAGTTTTTTATTTCATTTCACATAACTTTATACTATACTAAGTATCTATTCTTTTCATACGTGTGATTAGAAAACGTCTTTGTCACTCATGCGTGTTAAAGTGAATTGAAAGTGGTGGGCTAAACACGTGGGTAGATCAATTGCATATATGCGTTGTTGTAACAATAAACGGTAAATTATTAAGATTTCGTGAGTTTCACGGTCTGATTGCCCCTAACATTTATCAGTTGAGTAAAAATTTACATGGTAGTAATTAGTAGTTGGTGTAGTATATGCAGCCAATGTATAACTATTAACGTAGTAATTTTAATAATTTAAGCAATAAAAATATCTCAATTCGATAATTTTATAATACCAATTTTTAACAAATAAGTAGTTTTAATAAGTTTTAAAAAGGGCGAGCTTTTACAATCAGCATATACAGGTATCTCATTAACCGTAATAGATACGAATATGTTTAAATTGGGGTAAAGTTGTGCTTTGGGATGTTCACCAAGATGCAATTAAAAAAGTTTTAAAAATTTCAAGGATTGCTGAGTTTTTTTGGAAAAAACGGATTTTTTTAAATAAATTTTATTTTTTCCTGTAAATCTTAGAAAATCTTAGAAAATCAAAAAACTAATTGCACATTCTCATAACCACTTTAGTAGGGCTATCTAAAGTATTTTTAAATTAAGTGATAATTTGTGAGATACGGAGGTCAACTTTTTTTAAATCCGGACCTGCCTTTTAAAATTAACAATGACGTGGGGTAAAACAATGAATACGGAAAATCAAATGCAATAAAATAATAAAAATAAAATAAAATAAATAATAGAAATACTTTTACTTGCACTGTAAAAAAGGGAAAATCCAAGAATCTACCGAGATTATTTTAACTAACGACATAACATTCTCGCCGTTACATCTGGATGAAACCTACAAATATCTTGGTATCCATCAAGCTCTAAAAATTGATGATGGAGTAATAAAGAAGATTGCGAAGAATGCATTTATGAAGAGGGTTTGTAAAGTCTTGGGAACAGAGCTTCATGCGAAGGATAAAATAGCTGCGATCAATGTGTGGGCAGCACCTGTACCTGTAATTCTTACATTCGGAGTTCTAAAATGGTCACAAACCGACGTGGAATCTCTCGATAGGAAAGTCAGAACATCAATGACAAGGCACCGAATACACCACCCCCATGCTTCAACCATTAGACTCTACATGCCAAGAGACAAAGGTGGAAGAGGTATTATTAGTCTCATTGCTATGCATGAAAAGCACATCAGAACTCTGCAACATTACTTTGACCAATCAAATGACCCTCTCCTTTCAGCTATTAAGGTCGCCGACAGGAATTTCACACCTTTAAACTTAGCAGGTCAAAGATTACCTGCAGGTACTAGGAATGCTGAGGAACTAACCGAAGAGTGGAAAGGGAAAGCCTTGCACGGAAGATATCCATCAAGCGGATGAAACTGCCATTTGAATTTTGGAAACACGGCGGAGTTTCTGCCAGTAGAGGGATAGATGGTGCTGCGTAGAAATTTCATCTAAAGTCCCTAGATATTCATCTAGGGACTTTAATTTCATCATGATTTTATCAAGTCATCCACAGAGTATAGTTTAAAGGGTTTAATTAACAATTCGTTTGATTCTCTGTGGAGTAATTGGAGTAGTTGGAGTAGTTGAAAAATATAAATATTTATATATAATGTTGATAATTTAACAGTGATGTGCTTTGTTACCCTATGAATAAACATTGGTATGAAGTTGCTTTCGTCAGAAACAATTATAATTAAATAATTTAATAAAAATTTAATTTCTAAGTGACCCGGATCAGTTAGATCAGTAAAATAAATTGAAAAATAAACGTCATTCCATATTTGGCAATGTCTGTCAGTTTCTGTGAAGTGAGAGTGGAGATTTGTTTTCATGGGAATATTTTACGGATTTTTGCGAATTTAGAGTATTTTGGACGATAGGATTGTGAAATTTAAAAAGCCAAGTAGTTTAATATATAAGATTAATTAATCCCTGTGATAATTTTATGAAATTTCTCATAATCAAAACAAATTTTTTCAACAAAATGGCTGTCTCAGAAATTTGGAAGATCATTAATTTTAAAGTTTTATTTAAATGAATTTATATCGAATCAAGAATTTGTATAACACATATTAAAAGCTTGATTTTAAAGGTTGTGCAGTAATTTATGTAAGTGTACGCTTTTAGATAAATATTAAATATACAAATTTGCAAAGACAAACAAGTAATTTTAAAAAGATTATTTATTTATTTAAACGAATATAATTATTAATCATTAGGTTGAAAATATATTTGTATTTACGTATTTATATATTTTCTATACCCTTGTATTATTTATAAGCCCTATATGTCCTGTTTTATTTGTAAAAAAAATGCTTCGAGTCATCGAGAATAGATTTAATAACAATTTTATCCCTTGGCTTTGTGTATTATATAATGTGAATTGTAAGATGTTTCTATTTGAATAGGTCATTAAAGTTGAGATTTAAGTTATACCAAATTATATACACGTAACTATATGTCTTTTATATAATGATTTATTTATTTATAATTTATAACCTTTTTTATAATTACTTATAACTGATTGTATAAATTCTGATAACTTTTATATATACTTGTATAGTGTTGAATGTGTTAT